CCCCCCCCCAAACGCTAATCCCCATCGATACCTTTTCTCCTAGCTACATACGGAGTAGGGAGTATATACTTTTTGGCCCCCAATTGATTTTTAGAAGGATTCCATCAAAATTACTACTCCGTAAAAGCTAAAGTCAAACTATTAAAAATTTGGCTATTTTTAATTTTAAACTTGCAATTAAAAATATTAAATACCTCATCAAACCTATTGATGGAAATTTGAGTCTAGAGTGTCTAGACCAAGGCTCCATTATTGGTGAATGGAGAAAAGTGTCAAACCTCAAAAAAGATGTGTATTTGAATGGAGAAAAGAATGAGGAAGATGATGGATGCCACAATATTGAGTGTAGTGGTGAATGTGTTTATTGGGTGTTTTGTGTCTCCTCTCTCCCTTTAGAATCTTTAGAAAGAGGAGTATAAATAAGGGTGTAACATGGTTAGGGTTTCTCAATCCATATACAATGACTAATGGGCTGACTTAATAGACTGGGCTGCCAAAATAACAAATCAGGGCAAGATTAACAAGTCAGTCCAACAGACTGGGCTTGTTTCAACTAACTTATATAAAGACCGAATACTCAATATTCATGACCTATATTTTTCCCAAAACCTAAAAACAAATTGCATCTAATAATATTAAAATAAAAAAATTTAAAATTATAAAACTATAATATGCTAGTGAAATATTTAAAAGAGTAAATTATATTAATACTCACAATTATGGGTAGTTTTTTATATTTAGTTTCCAATTATAAGATATGAGATAAATAGTTATCAATTTTGAAAATTATTCCACAATCGATCTTTCATAGATAACTTTTTGAAAATATATTTTATCATATTTGGCTTAAATAATTAGTCATATTTTTGAATTGTTTTCAAAAATTAAGGATTGTATAACAAGATTGGACATGTGGCTCTGCCTAAAGATTAATTATTGAATAATTTTTAAAAATTAAACATCACAAAGGAATATAATATCTTAAGAGTTCGAGAACTAGAGGGTGTATTTAAATCAGATTTTAAAAGATTGTTTATAATCTGTAGATTATATATTATCCATAGATTGTTTTAGCTACATAGAGTTTGATGGATTTTAAGTATTGATTTTAAACAGATTTTATCCGATTGTTTAAAAAGTGGTTGGCATCAATAAAGAAAAGAAAACCTAGGAGGCTATGAGAAATGGAAAGTTGTTGTGCTGGAAATGTTGAAGCAGGGGGTTCCAACCGGCTTCATCTTAGTTACGGAGCTCGAAAGAAGCCTTACCTGGGGTATAGTTTCCCCTCGGAAAGAAGCCTCTTTCATCACCTTCTTCAGCTTCGCCGGTCTCTTCACACTCGCCTGACCAGATCGCCGGTGCCGGAGCTGGACCCTTACCTGGCAATTTCTTTCCCCAATTCTACGGTAAAAAAGGGTACGGGTAGTCGACGACAAAAATTGGATAACTCCGTAGCCAAAGCCTACAATTGAAAAAAAAAATCTACCTCCATTAAAATCTTTAATTTGGGGATGGCCACAATTCATTGTTCTACTCTGTTAAAATCTATTACCCCGTACAATTTACCTATAATACAAATCTTTTTAAATCAATGAATTATTTAATACCTTTAGATTTTGATACACCTTTTCGAATCTAAATTGAATATCTTCATACTACTAATTATTAAAATCCAAAAAAAAAAAACTTAGAAAACCGGGTATGAAAGCCATTGTAAAGTTTCAACCGGCTGTGGTTGGCACCACTGGCAAGTATGGAGTGCATGTGACTATGAAGGAAGGAGGGAAGAAGAAGACAAAGATGTACGTACTGTCATTAATTAATTTTGCCCCTATTTGTCTTCTTTTCTTTTTAAGCAATTCGTCTCTCTCTCTCTCTCATTGATGAATTGTGACTAGCTGCCGCATATCGGTCGTCTGTCTCAGCTCACCAGCTACGTACAAAACAGCGACGGCTTGATTTGTTAGTTTAACCTTCACTTGCCGGCGGCCGCTCGCCGCCCGCATTCTTCCATCAATTACATTTCTTACCCGCCCAAAACTAGGTATATACTCCCTCCGTCCATAATTAATCTTCCCGCTTTGACTTGGTGCGCAAATTTAGGTGGAATGAAAATAACCTTGACTTTCCAAATTTACCTTCCAGCTAATCCTCCTGTCACCACACAGCCTGTCTAGTCCTTTAAAAAAAACACAGCCTTCTCTTCTCTCCAGCTTCTCCATCCAAGTTTCCTACCTTCCGATTCAACTCACCACCATCAATTGTTGCTCCTCCGCGGCTCCGCCACCACAGCAAGTGGTCACCATCTCGATCTTCGTCTTAATTAGATCTAGATTGGAGTCCTCAAATCTGCAGAGATAGAATACAACCTTATGAGATCCGTCCAAATCGAGCAAGGTTACAAATCAATCATCAGATCTATCCCTATTGATGATGCTGCAGGGGAGGAAGAAGAAGAAGAAGAAGATGGAGAGAAGAAGGGGTAGGAAGAAGAAAAAGATCCTGCAGAGAAGAAGAAGAAGGTGGCTGGACAAAAACAGAAGGGGTAGGAAGAAGAAAAGAGAGAAGAAGAAAAAAAAGAAGAAGAAGAGAGGGTGGCTGGACGGAAGGGAGAAAAGAAGAAAAGAAAGAAAAAAGAGGAAGAAGAAAAGAATAAGAAAAGGAAAGGGGCGAAGCAAGATGGAAGAAAAAAGAAAAAGAAGAATAAATG